CCTCAGGGTAGTAAGAAACATCTGACTTTCTTTCAAATTGTAGATGGTGCCTGAAGAACCACTCCCATGGCTGTCTTCTGGTTTCCATGTGCAGGTAAATACATACAGCAGGGGTATCCGTGCATACACAGGCACACCAACATTCTCTATAAAAAGAGCATGCTTTTCCTTGTGCTGTGGACCTAAGTGGTAATTCGAGCCAGCAGATGTTAAACTCTTCTGAGGCAAGGGCCAGCGCTAGACATTGCAGAGAAGATAAGTATGCTTGTACATAAGACACTTTTGGACCTTGCCCTTGAGCAGCCTGCAGTTTCATGGAGTCCACACACCAAAAGGCAGTTCTGTCCTCTCCAGCTCTGACAGCTCACAAAGGTGAGAACACTTGGAGCTCTAGCTGGGTTTTTCCTGCCTCTTATTCCAACTTGACTATATTTTCCTTTCTACATGCGAAGCCACCTTTCAGCATTTCAGGGAGACTCATCTTTCACTCACAGTATAAACCTGGACCTCACAAGTAAGAATGAGGAGAAGCAGGAGCAAAATCAATGCAAACCACGTGGACTTCAGTTGGGCAAATGGCTGGCTGAACACCTTCTGTCATTATTAGAGGTCAGACTTTAAAGACCTTAGCCTCAAATTCTATTCTATTAAAATGAAAACCCAAATGACTTCCAAGGACTGAAACTGGAAAGCCCATGGTCATTAAGAGCTGCATGTCAGTCTCAGGAGAGGTCATGTGATGCAGAGTGTCTGCTGGTGTGCTTTGAGATGCTCCCTAGCAAGGTTGTGTCAGAGTGGGGTGAGCCATGCTTTCTGAAGAAAGAATCACAGAAGTGCTAGAATTGGAGGCTGGAGAGACTTGCCCAGGAGCAGAGTTCAATCCCCACACTCACAGCTCTGAGAGCTCTATCACCCTCTTCTGACTTCTGGGTCTGACTGCACACAGACACACACAACTCCACATAGATATGCATACAGACACATACTTAAACAGAGAGAAACACATACTTAAACAAACAAAAGAGAAGACATGGGGTCTACTCTCATGAGGTGAAGTGCTCAGTGTGCGGGAGCCTGACAAGCTGGGTAAGGCATCTTTGAGGTCTCCTCTCTCACCCACTCTGCTCCATAGCATCACCTAGTTATTGTGATGCAGATGTGGTATTCTCCATCCATTACACCATGCCATTTGCTGTTCTCTTCCATTCAAGGTAACATGAATACAATAAAAACACTTCTTCCCACATGTTCCTGAAAATATATTGGCCCTGGCTTCATTCATTACATGGCAATAGACATACTACTGGGGACCCAAAGGAGAACCACAAAGCTTCCTGACTACAAATAATGGTCCAAAGCTGTGAGGTGCAAAATCTCTCATCAGGTTTTCATTGCAGAAAGATTGCTTTGCTGAAATAGTCACAAGAAACAAGGCAGTGGTCTGATGTGAGTGGACTTGGCCTGAGACCCTGGATAAAATCTTAGTTACCATCTGATTTAAATGGGATATTAAGAAAGGGTTACATTGCTTATGGCTTCTATACAGTGCTTTAAAATAAGATGAACAAGGAATCCCATTTTGACTCACAAAGTATTGCAAAGTACTGTCTAACCAAAAGAAGCCATGAACTGAGTAGCTAAAGACATAATGGATGAATCCATAGGGAATGCCATGAAGATCCCTGTGTGAGGGAAAGAAAGCTCCCAGAATACTGTCAAATGAGCATTAATCCCTGTCACAAGGAACAAGTGCAAATGGGCTTGGAGATAAATCTCCACTAATCTCCAGGTCCAAGTAAATCTTTTCAGTATGCAATCCATGGTAGCTTTGCTTCAGTGAGTGAGTGGTTTTAAGATGGATTTGAAGGCAATAAAGCTATGAAACTACTTATTATTAAATGACAATGACACCAAAACAGCAAGTCCTAATTGTAGAAATCCCAAGGTAGTACCACTTCTTGGATTTAATGTCCTGCTGGGAACTGCTTCTTATAGTGTGTTTCTGGCAGGTTAAAGTTTGGCTGTGTAAATATGGCTTCCTTTTCCTTTACCTTCAACATTGAAAATGCAGCAAGGATGAGTGAAGGGAGGAAATATGCACAGGCTGGCTCGATAGTCTTAGGAACAACACTGGGAAATAGGGATTTCTTTTTTTCTATACTCCTAAATATCTAACTCAATTGATGACATCTGACACAAAGATAAAATAAACAACTGTGAAATAAAAGTAGAAAAGCAAACCTGTTTAAGACTGTATTTAATTATGACTTTTTTTTTAACCTCCCAGAATATGTAAAAAAAAAAAAAAAATAAGTGAAGTCCACAGGAATCAATTATGATTTAGGGTCAGGGTGTGGATTAGGGTCCTGACCTTGACTTAAAATTCAAAACCCCATACTATAAAGACAGACCTGAGGTGGGGCTGGTATGTGGGAAAAGGGTCTATGCTGAGAAACTTTGGATTTGTTTTCTTATAACAACAATAGCAAAAATATGCACGTGCAAATAAGATCAGTTTGAGTCCACTTACAACTTGAAAAAGCCAAGTGTTTGTGACAAAGCTACTTCCTTTATCATTGTCAGGACAAAACTGAGAACACATTCACAGAAGGAAAACATGCTGGAGAGCCCATGCCCCGAAACACAGAAAGTCACATGCCTAAAAGTGTAGTTGGAGAAAATCAGTTTGCAAGTATGAAGGAAGAATTTGAAACTGTCAACACCAGCCTGTTCCCATTTCACAACCCTGTCCTTAGGTTAAAATGCACAGCCAGTGTGTTCATCCTTGAGCAGTATGGCTTCTTCACCTTTGACCCAAGATCGGGTGCCTAGTCAGACAATGTGATCAACACTCCATGCTTGAATGTAATCTTCTCATGAAGATTCATTTATTGGTGTGTGTGTGTGTGTGTGTGTGTGTGTGTGTGTGTGTGTGTGTGTGTGTCTCTCATCCCCACACACGTGTTCATGCACACCATGGCCTGAATGAATGTGGAGGTCAGTGGACAACTGTGGGAGCTGGTTCTCTCCTTCCACTGTGGTTTCCTGGGATTGACACAACCTAATTAGGTCTGTGTGACAAGTGCCTTACCTGCTAGGCCACCTCTCTTCACCCAAATAAAATCTTATTAAGGGGACAGGGGTACAATGGTAACCAAAGTGCTGTGTGCAATGTTGTAGCATCCTCTGTCAACCTGGGTATGTCCCTATCAAAGTTCTTTCCTATCTATGCCCACACAGGAATCAGACTGAATGGTTGCTTATATCCATTAAATAATGTGGAATAATAATAGGAAAAAATTATTTTAGCAACATAATTTTCCAAACACTTATCTCCCCATTTATCTTGGAAGTGGCTAACTTTACTCTATGGATAGTCGTCTGTCATTAATACAAAGGGGTTGGGAGGCAAGTGCTACAGTCAGCATAGGCCTCTTTCTCATTTTTCTTTGTGTGTAGGTGCGTGTGTGTGTGTGTGTGTGTGTGTGTGTGTGTGTGTGTGTGTGATCTACTTCTGTGACAGTGTGAAACTTTGGCTCATTCTCTAGAGTACAGGTACCCTCAGAGGCTAGAAGTGGGTGCCAGATCCCTTGGCACTAGAGTTATGGATTGTTGTGAGCTGCCTGCTGTGTGTGCTGGGAACTGAACTCAGACCCTTTGGAAGAGCAGCAAGGACTCTTAACCTCTGGGCCATCTCTTTTTGTCCCATGTCAAATGCTGCCTGGTAGGCTGTACATATCCTACAGAAAAATGTTTTGAATTTTTTTCCTTTGAAAACCCAAAAGGTGATTTTAATTACTTGTTGTTATCAGAGGAGGTGAGCCCTCATTTGTAGAACTGTCTCACTCCTCCCTGAAATACTGGAAGCATTGTTTTGTCCTTGAAAGTATTTTTCATGTACAGCCATTGACCTTGCCAAAGGCAGGTGAAACACAGCAATTTGTGGGCACTGTTGTGGCATTTCCTGCCAGAGCTTCGACTAAACATGCAGAACAAGGAAAATGTGGTGGTGGAGACAAGTTTAGTCAACCGCCATTGCTGAAGTATTTAGGCATCTTTTAGTCGATGTTAAAGGGATGGGAATACCAAACCAGGAGTATTGACACCATCTATGAGACCATAAGGCAAATTCAAAGGTCTGTCTTGTTAAGTCCCAAAGGCCAAGGAGAGGCAACACTGAAATGTCTGTTTTCTGCCTAAGAGCTCAGAACAACATGTGTGGGGATTTTATTCCGTAACCCATTTTAGCATTTGATTAAAACGTTCTTGCTAGTCAGGACTGTGTCCCCCCTTTGCAATTGGAGCTTCTGAGCCAACCTCTGAGGACACAAACCGAAGCTGCCTTCTTTCTTTTCTGAATCGGCAATGAGTCAGACTTTCCCTCTCCGCTGCTTACTCTGCAGATCTGGGAGGTTCAGTTTCTCCCACCTGACCTTGACTCCTAGACCAGAATTCACCTCCACTTGTATTTCTCCCTTCCCTCTAACACTGTATCCACAACTTTCTTTCCTTGTATTCGCCGGGGTTTGAGGTAACTGGGCCCAGAATCAACTGCACGATTTCATTTTGGGTAGAGGAATGGATGAGAAGCCCCAATACAAATGCAGACAATTATGGGGGATAATGCAAACGCATGGAAGAGATACTTTAAAAATAAAATAGCCTGGCAGGAAAAAGTGGTTTTCATAAATTGTTATTCCATTCCTGATGTTAACATCATATTTTAAAGCTTATTGATATTAGTGAGTTTACATTTCTGGATGAACTAAGATTATACTATTTTCATATATTTTATCTCACATAGTTGAGGGCTCACATCTGACTGCTTGACTAATCAAGTAATTGGCACTGTAAATAATTGTAGCACAGTGAGATCTGGTCAGATTTGGTGGCATCCCCAAGATAGATGCGCACCGGGAGAGGCATCCAAGGAAGTTCTGCCGGGGGAATGGGGCTGGAAGGCAGGACACCAACCATCGGCCTGCCCCCAAGGGTCTTACCTGACATCTGTGCATGCAATGCAGGTGATGCTTCGGCTGTTACTGGTGATCAGGTTCAAAGCAACTGATGTATCCTTGTCAGAGGTTGGGTGTGCTCCACATTTAAAGAAAAATTCCTGGAAGAATGAGGGAAAAAGTAATTACACATATGGACCCTTCCCAGACATTTTTGCCATAAATGGTCACTTGGGGGCAGGGAGAGAAGAAATCTGTCATTAGGTACTAGTTGGGAATAAATCTCCATGGACTTCTGGAAGGAAAGAACAGCCTTGTCTGGTGCAGAACTGGTCAGCAATACCCCTGAGCATCCCGAAGAACCCCAGACCCTTTCTACGTGGTCACCATGCAGATAGACTTACAGCAGGAGCGTGTGTACTGAGTAAAGGATCCAGGGAGCCAGAGGACTCAGGGTCACGAGTACCCTGACAGTTAATATTGATCACCGGTCTGACAGGACCCATCTAGCATTACCTAGGAGACACATCCTAAGTATGGCTGGCACCACTCTATGAGCTGAGCTCAGTTCAGGCTGAATCAAAGGGACAAAGCAAGCTGAGGGTATCACCACTCTCTGCTACAATGTGACCATCTGTCTCAGACCCCTGCAACCACAACTTCCCCACTACGAAGGGCTTCCCCTCAAACTGTGCACCAGGGCAGATTCTTCTCTCTTAGGTTGCTTTTTCCAGCTATTTTGTTGCAGCAGTAAAAAAATAATAATACGGAAGTACATAGCACTGATATTAGGCAGGGGCCCTTCCCTGGACAGGTGGGACCCTTCTGGGCCAAACTCACAGCTCACCCTTAGGCCTGACTGCCCAGCCCTAATACCTGGCATCTGGGTACCCAAATAAGCAATAAGCTGGATCCCTAGCTGCTTTGTTTCCTTTCCCAGATGAGTCCTCCAAGGAACACATGTATTTCAGGATACATTCTCCTTTCTTCACCACTTTTCTTTTCATTCAGCTTCTTTCCTGATTCCCAGGTTTCCTCTCAGTCTTCTTTGCATTCACACAGGACTGTTGGGTCAGTGGTCAGCCTGCTCCTTGTCTCTGGTCTTCTATGGGATCCCAGACTTTCTGCAGTGACAAATCATCTAGACTGGATGACAGGAGAGGCCCTGCACCGTGCACGTGTATGGACAGCATCTTCCCTCTTAGCACTAGACCTGAAGTCAATCAACTATTATGGGATGCCCCAGATATGAAATATGAATCATTCCTACTTTGTGGGCCAGAAGGTCTTTCTTGTACTTCTCAACTTGGCATTGCATCCACAGTTGACTTGTGAGCCATAGATGACATGAGTGGCAGAAGTGACTGCTCCTAAGAAAACTTTGTTCAAAAGAAACGTGGCAAGTTGGATTTTGCATGGGTCACAGTTTAGCCCCTCTTGGAAATTAGTAAAATGTCTTCATTATTTTTCTATCTTAATAAGGCCTGGCACAGGATAGGCATTGGATTTATTTTATCAATGAAAATCTGCAGTATTGATTACTAAATGGAAACCTTAAACATTTTGATGACTGCACTTGAGTTTGTTTTCTCCCATTTGAAGCCTGATGAGTCCTCACTGGGTACACTGCCTGAGGATCTCTAACTCTGAGGTGTCAAAGAACTGCCTGGGCAGGATACCCACCTCCAGTTCCCAGTTTGAAGCTGGAATCAAGCTTCTAGTTAACTCGAATTTATCTGACCCAGGGTGGCAGTGTAGCAGGGAACCCGTTAAGCACCTCAATGAACTAAATGGGTGTGCAGGTACACTCTGGAACCTGGGTTCAAGTTCAGGGTGCCCACAAAGTTGGATGTACTGGTCCAGGTCCTCACTGTTTCATCATAGGAAATACATGGCTGATTGCTTTTCTGAACATTGGATACTGTCTTAGTCAGTGTTATACCACGGCGACGCTTATAAACAGGAGCATTTAATTGGGGCTTGCTTATAATTTCCGAGGTTTAGTTCATTATCACCATGGCAGGAAGCCTGGCAGCGGGCAGGCAGACAAGGTGCTGTGAAGTTAAGAGATCTACACCCTGATCACAGGCAGCAGGATGAGAGGGAGAGAGCGTGGGACTGGCTTGAGCTTTTGAAACTCCAAAGCCCACACCCTAAGTGACACACTTCTTCCATTGAGGCCATAGCCTCCTAGTACCTGTCAGGTAGTGCCACTGCCTAATATATGTGCCTAACACATTTCAATATATGTGCCCATGGGGGCCACTTCTATTCAAACCACCACAGGAGCCATTGTTTTTACTCAACCATTGAAATGCTACAAATCCTTGAAGGTCAACAGAGGAATACTGAGGAAAAAATTAAAATAACAACTGACCTCTTAAACAAGAGGTTTGAAGGACATGTGAAATAGACTGGGCTGCCTCCTACTGCCTTTTGCAGGCATAAGGAAAAAAACAATCCTTATCTCTAACATAAAGCAGTTCCCTCAAAAGAGCTGAGTTGGCAAAAACATTGAGGATGTTTTTCATATATAGATATATAGGAAGTATTTATATTTTTTCTTAGCTTGCAAAAAGCTACTGGTAGACACTTAGATAACAAATCACAAATTTTTTCTAACACTATATGAAACTCAGCCATATAAAAGCCAAAAAAACCTTATTACTGGGAGGAGATGTTTATAGACAATAGTCTACATTTAAAGATTTAGAAAGTTCTGTTAATTCAAATGATATTAGAAAACTAACACAGAAAAATTCCAACTCTGCATATTACATATAATCCCAGCACATTCTCTACCAATGTTTGTGAATGGTGGTTTTTCTACAGTTTAACTGGCAAGAACTGGGAAGGATCCAAGGTTTTGTCTTGCTTGCAAGCTGTCTACTTCATCTGCTACTCACTCCATCATAGATGCTGGCAGAAGACAATGGGCTCATGAGATAGGGCTTTGTGCCCTAGCAAATGCAGGGAGGAGTGGGAGGACTCAGTTGAGTGCCACACTGTATGAGTGGTGGCAGGCAGCTGAGAACTCTGAGCTTAGGGAACTAGGATTTTTATGAGGAGCTGTGAGCAGGCCTTATTTTGCTCCTGAAGGGGGACATTGTCTTTATTATACAGGATAATTAGCAAATCTGCCTTTTGTTCTAGAGGGAGACATTAGCTTCTTCTTCCAAGGTCATTAGCTTTTCCCTGCGAAGGTGGTCTGAGGCCAAGGGTAGTTAATGGCTCCCTCTTGAGATGAGCAGAATTGAGAGGCCAGCAACTGTCTCCCAGCAGTGCAAGTGTCCTTTCTTACAGGCTAATTAGCAGTGTGATCTAGTTGTTCCCTCTTCTCTGCAGTCAGTAGGCTGAAGCTTAAAATCTACACTCAAAATCAAGCACACAAACAACAACAGTAAGGCAAAATACCATGGAAGTCAGAAGAGGCTTCTCCAGAGCACCACCCTGGGTGTCTCTGAGAACTTCCTGACACAGGGGATCTCACAACAGTCTGGTTCTGGGGAAACAACTTGGAAAAACTCTTCCCACATCTCACAATTAACCTCACAAATGAAGGGGGGGGCGTGTAATTTCACCTAATGGCTCTTCCACTGAGACCCATATACACACTTCTGAGAAGTCTTTATTAACCAAGAAGCTAAAAGCTATGACAATGATTCATTAGTTTTTGCCTAGTTTTTAAATGATAGACAAACAATTAAAGATAAATAAATAAAGGTAGCTAAAAATGTAGAGGACCAGGAGTTCTGCTGTGTCAAAACTTATAGGACCCAAGGACTATATGATGGGTCCTCACTATAAAATAACCTACAAATGGCTCTAAAGCCTTCCTTCCCCAGCCTATTCAAACCCAATAAAAGTATGAGCAGGGCCTGTCTTCTCATTCTTCTATGAGTCGTTTAATAGATTTTATTGACCATCCTAAGGTTAAAATATTGTTTACCAATCATGTTTCCACATAAAATGCCATCTATCTTTACAAAAGCTAAATTCCATCTCAGTCTCCAACTCTGTCTTAATGAAATCCACAAAAGGAAAGCCCACTTTTCTATGGATAAAATAGTAGGGACACCCATTTTTCACAAGGAAGGCTGAGACAATTGTGTGGCTTATGTCTAACCTGTATCGGGGTGGCCATTTGCATGGCTCACACTGCTGCTAAGGAAACAGTGCCCATGGCTGGCAGGCAGCTCAACTGAGGGGACTCATTGCTAAAGTATAGTGCTAAGGTATATTGCTAATGGTGTGTGTACGGGAGGCACACAAACACTAAAGGAGAAAAGAAGCAGCCTTTGGTTTAGCCTTATTACTGGCAGCTACCAACTAGTCCTAGAGGACAAATGAGAACGTGGCTAATTCATCAGAGCTCTGCATCGGACTGTGTCTGGACCTGGGAAAGTGAATGCGGGGTTGCCTGTGGGAAATAACCCCACATGTAAAGAGAACTGCCCCTAGTCTCCAGCTTTGGCCTCTTACGATAAATCTTTCTGCCAAAGCCTCCAAGCCCCACCACCACGTGTGCGCTTAACGCCAGCGGCCCACCTGAGTTAGGGCCCCAATTAATGTACAGAGAGACTTGTATTAGGTTCAATGCTGCTTGGCCAATGACTAGGATTCTCATCTGTTAGTTCAGTCTTAATTATCATAAATCTATATATTTTATAAAACTTATCTTATCGGACGCCTTATTGGCATCCCTCCTTGTCGGTGGCTCACATCCTGCCGCTGGAGGAGGCGAAGGGGAAAGAGGGACACTTCCTGTTTCTCCTCACTCAAATATGAGTCTCTTTGCTATGTCACTTCTGGCCTGGATCACCACTTCTCTGCTACATTTCCCAGAATCCTCTTTGACTCCTAGTCCTGTCTAACTTGCTGTTTCATTGGCCAAACAGAACTTTATTTAACAATCAGTAAGATAAACATACACAGAAGTACTTCCCCCATCATTGGCCTTCTCTATGGCTTTTGTCACCTGACTGAACAAAGTAGGTGTCATTGAGAGCTTCCAGGGTCAGACGAGATACAGAGAAGGAAGACCATGGGGAGCTGGTCTGCATGCAGAGGTGACTGAGGGACCATTCAGGAGGACGCTGGTCTGTGAGGTGGAAGACCCCCAGCTTTTGATCCTTGTCAATGGTGACTGAGGGAAAACAGT